GATAATGATCGGAAGCGTTATCGCTGATTGGCTAATCGCTTCACGGGTCGATATGCATAGGACCGCCTACCTATAGACTGACACGCGCTGACGCATTTGTGTATTTGTGGTTGTGAACAATCGGTAATGTTTATGCGTCCCCAGGCAAAATTAAGCGTACGTGGAATCCTTGCTCTGAAATATTTGCGTCCAGCTGTATTAAACATGCGTACCGGGACGCCGAAATAAGCGTCCCCGAGAACCCTGATAAACATCTTATATTTAGCTCCATGTTAATTTTAAAAGTGCCGTACGGCTAGACAAAACAGCGAGTCCAGGCTAGTCGTACGTGACTCACGTACGACTAGAACTTTTGGCTAGCCGTACGGCTAGCCTCTTCCTTAGTTTTAACCAAAGAACAATGTGACCAACGGAATTTTATCAGTTACAAATTAGGTCTTTTTGTAATTTAGATAGTTTTTATATTGTATCAATAACATTTCTGATTATCAATTATTAGTCAATCAGCTGTCTCTGATTATCAATTATTAGTCAATCAGCTTTAAAATAGCCAATATTTAGGAAATTATATATTGCTAATTCAACTCTGTAAAATAAAAAATGGGTAAAAAATTAAGCAGGTCACACTAATTAAATTGCAGTTTTCAAAAAAAAACAAATAATAAAATTCAGACGCCACTTAATAAGACTTAAAACTACAGATAAAAATATCAATGTATGTTGTAAATCAAATAACTTAAAGAAGCAGATTCATGATGTCTAATTTTTCATTTCGTTTTTTCCAAACTACTGCACCTATTTAACATGATTATCAGTGTTTAACTGACAGATTCTACATATTGGACTCAATAACAAACGAAGATCCCTTTCATCTTCAAAAATGAACCATTAAATTTTCAAATATCTCAAGTGTGTTTCATTTAAAATCGTTCTAATGAGGGAAGCACTTCTACCTTAGTTGAGAAACCCATGTTGAAAAGAAAGAGGAAATAACCGGAAATAACGTGGGGACACGTTTTCCGGTGCAAAGCGCTCTTGGCTAAATGCCGTTCGAACCGACTTTTCCGGGTCGGAATTCATGGTCAGACTAGTCTATAGACTCGGTCAGTCCATACTACAAACGAATTTTCTCGGCAAATGAAACGACTGTAACATAAAACTTATGAAATACCTGTCAGATAAAACTTAAGAACTACAATGGAAATAAGAGTCACAACGACCCTTTTTTGTGCCAACTTATATAATGTTGATTGACATGACTTTGTTTTTCACTCAAACATGTCTGTCAGTAGTTTTACGTATGTTTTAAAATATGCCATTGCCATGTAAATACATGTATTTATTTTATGTGCAACTAAATCTATCTATCTGTCAGAAACTTTACAGTAGGGGTGGCAAATCAAAGTGCAAACTGACTTCGAAGCAGTAAAATGAAAAGGACCCATTATCAAGGACAATGTGACAGGCAGAGTTAATAAGTGAGGTTTTAAGGTGACAACAGACACTTTTCGTGGTACTCACATAAATGTCATTTAAACCAACTTATTTTAGTAATAATTGTTATTTATTTAATCTTTGTGCATTAAATGTCGTTGATCATCAAAAAAAATAACATATTTGAAAAAAATGCCTTTGTAAATGATTGATTTTTAATAAAAATCCAAACATTTTAAATCGTCATATCAAAGTCATTTTTTATTTTTTTGTCATCAAACTTTTGGAAAATAAACATACTTATAATATCTGGGGAACGGTGTCTCAAATTTTTTCTATCTTTTCTCAAAAAAATATTACGTAACGTCAAACATTTTATGCGACTTTTTTCACCATACATATTACGTAATTAAAGATAATTAAGCCGCTGATTGAGCAAACAAAAATCCCTGACACGGTTCCCTCCGTAAATGAATTCCCTTTCATGTGCTTTAAACCGAATGTTAATTGCTTGATTATTAAAAAAGTTATGCCGATTCAAAAATAGTCCGACCCACATCAAACGAAGTGTCATAAATCGGCTGTTCTCTCTCGGACCCCCTACGTTTCACGCTAAATAATTGCATAATACACAAATTTCGCACCAGAGAGGGTCACAAGTTGCGGTAACATACTCTAACAACATTTTATGACCCAGTGACATCTGACCAATTAAAAAGTTGCTGATTAATATCAGTTTATAACAGAAATTTCTTCAAATCTTAACGTGATTTACCGTCCGCACATGTCACGTGACTTTCTGTAAAATTTGAGGCACTCGGTGGGGGGAAATGGAACGTATTTGCGCAACGCTAGCGGGGTATATAATTGTTTCACTTTTAAATATCATCAGCATTATTATTATATTATACCAGTGTCACTCTGTGTATTCGTTTATGAAATTCCGTTAAAATATAAATCAAAATAACAAAAAACTGAGCTTCTGACGGTCTTTTAAAGTCCATGGTAGATGTACAAATAAGAACGGGATATTATATATTTTTTCCTCCAAATTGATATAAATGCTTAACATATTTTAATAGAAATAAAAGGTATCACTCGTTCATTAAGATCTGACCTTTTTTACTTCTATTATCATGAATATCATCTATGCATCTAAGCACGGCATAGAGATCCAGTTTCTACTGGGATATACAATAAATTCTATACTTTGTCCCAGGTTTATTAGTACTGTGTCCGATTTACTGGCGAACAATTTATTCAAACCATTCACTGATAATATATTTTATTATCTTTTTTTACTGATTCATAGAGAAATAATCAGCCTTAGACAACCTAAAATGGTTTAGAAATTTGTCAGGGACACCTTAATTACCACAAGTCATATATAGGCGTTCACATAAAAAATGTTGTCTGTTTTTGTTGTTGTTTTACTTGACATTGTTAGAAAACGAGGTTGAATGTAAAGCAAGCCCTTGAATCCGTACAAAGTCCATAAACTCAATGTAATATCTATCAGATTAACGGGACTGACAAATTATTTTCACACATTATGGATATTTTAGCAATTACATTTTTAATCAACGATTTACCGCTATACTTAATTATTTATGTTTCATACATTATGTTACGTACATTGGCCGACAATTTCTTATTTTATAAAAAAGGCTTAATAAAAGGTAGACGATATTCGGTATTTGTACGATACATGAATTACGAGTAGTATGGACCAGTATGGACCGGTAATTCACGCATATATGGAACTACCGATTTCCCTCATTGATGCCTCAACAGGGGGCGGAGCGTTATCGATAATTGACAGGTTACGCGAATAGCAGATAAAAATGGTACAGGTACCGTTTTAAAACGTTTAAAAACACATTTTTTGGACTAACTGCTTCCAAAATTAAATCACGAATGTGTTCAGAAAAGATGGATAAATCTACTAGGCAAAAAATCTCATTTTAGGTATTTTCAGTGATAATTGACTCCCTAAGGATTCTTTCTATCCTTTGATATGTATTCCACTTTCCGTAAATAATAATATTATTTTATTAAACAAAAACAAAATGATTCTCCAACACGCCGCTTAGATTTAATAAATTTTTTAATTTGTATGCGTAAATCAACTATATTCAGTATTGTAAAAAAAAAAATACAGAAAACGGGCGGCACGTTAGGTTTTGTTTTAGTATTCTAGGAAATACAACTATGTATTTATTATTGTTATTTTTATTATTATTATTATTATTATTATTTTTATTATTTCTATAGATTCGTATAATAATAATAATAATAATAATAATAATAATAATAATAATAATAATAATAATAATAATAATAATAATAATAATAATTATAATAATGATGATGATGGTGATAATGATGATGATGATGATGATGATGATGATGATGATGATGATGATGATGATAAAATGTAGTTGTTTCCTACTAAGATTCTATGCGACAATGTACAATGAAGCATGATGTATACGAATATCTCTGTGCTCCCTATTATTCTGAGTAGTCTACTTAACTTACAATAAAGTGTTTTTAACAAAATTTCGATTTATTATATTCATCCGCATTTAAAATATAGCTTGGATATGTAAAGATCTAGATCTACGATATAATTATATTCTAAGAATTTCACAGTGAAGCAAAGTGCAATAATACCGTCCATGATAAGACTCATCCAACCCGAGCCTGCAACAAATTCCATTTTATCGCTTTGGGCGGTTTTTATGGACTCTGTGGTCGTTTTCTTCTATCTTTTCAAAATAAAATTTTAGTGTCCACTGAAAAGCATGCCGTTTTCCCCCTCCGAATTGACACTCATTGTTCACACTATTATGGTTTGCAATTGTATTGACAATAACTTGACAATAACATGTAGATCTAACAAGTAATCATTTTTCTAATCTCCTCCTCAACAATACGATGTCATTGTCAGATTTCTCACCATAGATCGATTAATCGATACAGAAATGATGCTGTAAAATAATGCCGACTGCATCAAAGAATTACCTTGCACAGTATTAATGACGTTAACTCGAATACTCATTATAGTTTTATTTGTACCGTGGAGTAGTTTCTTTCATTTTAATTTGTGAGAAAAAAAGAAACACGCTACCTTCATCTTTTTTACATTTTGTTTCTAAAGTTGTTTTTTTTTGCAATATATATCTATCTCTGAGGACTACCAAACCGTCTCGCGAGTGTTATAGGCAAGAATAGTGCACGTCGGACGTGTTAGTAAATGGTGTGAGAGAAAATACAAACCTGAAAATGAACATTATCAGGACAGCTAGAGACTTACTTTAAAACTTTAAGTCGTCATTTTTAAAAATGTATTTATTAGTAAGAGTGAAGGATAGATAAAAAGTTAATACACAACTATTAAACAAAACAATAAAAACTATTGATATCAGGTTTTCAAAAACAAAGATCAAAACACATAATTAAAAAAAATACGAATGCAACTAAAGTATTCAATTAGACAAAGATGACGTTAATGACGTAATAGACGTCACAAATATAACTATGCGTCAGTTTTTTTATATAGCTAATGGCAACGACGTTATGTAGATTAATGGCAGTTTAGAAGAAGATCAACAATGGAAATTATCTTATTATAATTATCTTATTATAATTATCTTATTATAATTATCTTATTATAATTGATACAAAAAACGAGAAGGAAAAAAATAAGAGAAAATGTAACAACAATGCACGCAAATAGTGAATCTAGCATACCTCAATTACTTTTTCATATACGAATGGATGAGAGTGGAACATTTAACAAGGATTATGAAAAAGGTATGATGAAACTTATTTTCACTTTTGTGCTAAAACTTTTTATCTTTAAAACATTTTAGTTTGCAACTTTTTAAACATTTAAATTTATGTGCATTACTGAGCCTATATTACGCAATAAGTTTGCATGACGCACATGTACACGTATAATTTTGCTTTATAATATATTCAGACAAAAATCTTCTGAGAAATTACAAAATTCTTAAAAGTTTAATAATGCAATAGAGCTACTTGCTTTATTTACTTGCAACTTAGATCTAACAGTGATATGATAATTGTAGATAACTTCGTTTTAAGCTGGGACCTATCTTACATGTCCCATTTTTAAGTCATCTTTAAATATTCTGTCTATAACTTGTACATTTGTATACAAAAATCCAAAATAAAAAAAAAAAACAATTAAAAAACCTCTTTACAACAACAGTTTAACTTATTCATTCCTAAAGTAAGACTTCAACTATATATTTAACTTTTCTAGAGCCTCTTCTCTGCACCAACCAAATTATTGTTTGCACCACCCCCAAAGAGGTTGTACTCTAAAAAGACACGCCTTTAATTAACCTTTAGCCTGCTGTTGGCAACAGATTCTATCTAAGCAACAAATGCAGACCAAGATATATGCTGTCACATACATGCCTTGCCGTCTATTTACGGTCTGCACTGTTACTTACTCAGTTAAATGTTTGAAAAATTTCGCTAAAATGATATATGTTTTTGTCTAGACCGTCGATTTAAGATATGTAGCATTTACCATTTACTATTGAAAAGTCGTTACAGTGCGCTTATAACAATTAACTACTAGTGTAAAAATCACTTTTCGGGTTAATTATGTAATTATAGGAATATATCATTAGCGAGATTTTATCACGTGTAATTTACGAGACTTAAAAATTCATTCTCATTCGCATTTGCTTATATGCTTGCTTTCCATTTAACCAAATATAGAATAAGAGTTGTGTTGCTTCAAACTTAATAATTTGCGCTTTTAAATCATATTTACATTTGCACAGTTTATTTGCACACTTAATATCTAACATTTATCATAGTGAGTTGATTGGTTCTCTGCCTCTAAAGTTACAATTATAGAAGCTGTAGAGAGAGCAAAATAGTGACGCAAATGGAATATAACGCTCAATCGCAACTGATCGGCTCTTTCCGACAGTCTTCGATTATTGATAATAGCCTAGATTGTATAGATATCAAAGTTCCGGCCAAATCTTTTTATAAAGCGTCATGGTGATATTTAGGAGCTTGAATACATTATGTCATGGTAATGTTGAGAAACTTACACAGATTATGGCAAGCATCTGAACGCTTTTAAAATATATGAAGTTGAGTTTAGTTAATTAATATGAAACGTGTTAACAATGATAGTAGGACAAAAACAACAACATCAACAAAGAAGAAAAAAGAAATCTCTGTACGGCATGGCAAATTGAACAAGTTTCTCAGTAACGATATGGAATACAATTGACGCGGTATTTGATATTCAAGACATTTCGAATTATGATGCATTTTTTGAAATACTAGATGAACTTCATTTTGAAACTTAAACTTTCAAATGCAAATAATAACAATTATAACGAAGCGTTGAAAGGAATACTTACTAACTTTTCTCATTAGTTTCGTTTTATTCCAGTTCTCGAGGACAAGGCAAGGCTGCGAGGAATACTGAAACCACCGTTTGAAGTGTACAGGAAACGTAGATTACCAGGCCCTCCATCAGCACAATATGTTAACTTTCGACTTGCACCATTATTTAAAGAACAGAATACTTCATCGGCGAAACATCTCTCAGATGCCAACACATGGACTGTGACTGGAAAATCAGAAAAACTCCCAGAATTCCCTATAAGAAATTCGACCCGTGAAACATGGCTTAAATTGCTCTCTAAATTGGACATAGATGTTGTTTCATATTCAAGAAGTCCGATATCTTCACCGATCCCTACGCCAAGCATGCGCTCTGATAGCTCATATTCAACAAGTAGTTCTGTAACGCCAATTCCGATTTTCAAAAGACGAATTCCAACGGCTACATTTCTAATTCGCCGGCCTACAATTGAACCACCACTACCACTTAAAATTGATGAGGAATTATTTGAATCTATTGTAAATTCTTTTGAACTAAGAGCACTTCCATTCAAAAGATCAACAGAATCATATAAGTTCTATATTACACATTTCCCGCTACTTTTAAAGGGAATAAGAAACCCTGAACGCTGTTCCACTCCGGGCAGAAAGTCAAAGTCACCGGATGGGTCAATGAGCGCCTTGATTGCCCGGAAGCGGGAAATGAACGAGAAGATTGTGGAACTTGAGTACATGATGAAGGAAATGGAGTATGCAACAGATACGGATTGTAAATTTGTTACTGAATTGGAAAGCGCTGTGTTCGACCCAACAACATGGGATTGGAATAAGGTAGATGTGGCTGGATTGAAACGACGGTACACACTTGAAGCTATGAATGATGAAACAAAGTAGCTGTATTAAATCTAGACGATCGCTAGTAAAAGTTATCTAAAATATATGTAATGTTGAATGTACAGACTTGATTTTTTATTTCTTCCAAATTATGAAAATTTATTTTTAAAACAAACGCACACCTGAATGTAACTAGAGGATGCTTTTGTAAAAAAGCGCATGTCTCCCCCACTGCTGAGAATAACTGTGAATGGAAACAGGAATGGAAATGGAGATAAGATAATGTAAATACCCGGTAGTCACTTCAATGAAGGCTGTCTATGGATGGTTTCTATTGTTAAGGTTGTATGAGAAGATGCTTCCTAAACTGTTTGTTTTTAACCAGGTATTCAATTTTGAAAATCCTGGTTATTCAATCAGCGTATGGCAGGCGGGCGTCAAACGAAATTGCACTTGATGGTCATATCATATATAGTTTCACAAATGAAATTAAATGAAATTGTGTCTGCTCCATAATTCTTCAAACCTTTAAAGGATTTTGATGATACTTGAAACAAACGTTCATATTGTCAGATTTTTTTACACTATTGAAAGACAACTCAAATTACAATGTATGTAAAATCATGATAACTGTAGTGTGTTGGGATGACTCCACTCGTTTTCACAATGAAGCCTCTCTTGTAGATACTTGAAACAAAAATTCACCACATCCAGAGAACGTGTAGAGTACATGTTTCGTATGGCTGGTTCCAAGGTCAAGGTCTACTTGACACTTGAATGTCATATCATATATAGTTTCACAAACGAAATTAAAGGAAATTGTGTCTGCTCCATAACTCTTCAACCCTTTGAAGGATTTTGATGATACTTGAAACAAACGTTCATATTGTCAGATTTTTTACACTATTGAAAGACAACTCAAATTTCAATGTATGTCAAATCATGATAACTGTAGTGTGTTGGGATGACTCCACTCGTTTTCACAATCAAGCCTCTCTGGTAGATATGGTCAATAAGTGTGTTGTGTGCTGTAGTAGCCTTGTTTATTATTTGTTTAAAGCGATGTCGTAACATAGTGTGGGTCAATGGATGTTCTAAATATTGAATGAGGTCAATGTTGAAGTCTCCTAGAACAGAGTATATAAAACCAGACAACTGATATATCACTGATATATGAATAATAGTTAAATGTCCTCACTGATAAGAACTCTAGTTATCATCCGGAAATGAGAAAATGACCAATGGTCACTGTGACCTTAACCTTTGACCTACTGACCCCATAAACAAGAGGGATCATCTGCTCAATAAGACCAATCATCCTATGAAGTTTGAGGGTTGTAGGTCTAAAGGAACTCTAGTTATCATCCGGAAAGGAGAAATTAACCAACGGTCGCTGTGACCTTGACCTTTGACCTACTGACCATTAAAACAATAGGGATCATTTGATTAATAAGACCAATCATCCTATGAAGTTTGAGGGTTGTAGGTCAAAAGGAACTCTAGTTATCATCCGGAAATGAGAAATTGACCAACGGTCACTGTGACCTTGATCTTTGACCTACTGACCCCAAAAACAATAGGGATCATCTGCTCTATAAGACCAATCATCCTATGAAGTTTGAGGGCTGTAGGTCAAAAGGAACTCTAGTTATCATCCGGAAACGAGAAATTGACCAACGGTCACTGTGACCTTGACCTTTGAACTACTGACCCCAAAAAACAATAGGGATCATCTGCTCAATAAGACCAATCATCCTATGAAGTTTGAGGTCTGTAGGTCTAAAGGAACTCTAGTTATCATCCGGAAACGAGAAATTGACCAACGGTCAGTGTGACCTTGACCTTTGACCTACTGACCCCAAAAACAATAGGGATCATCAGCTCTATAAGACCAATCATCCTATGAAGTTTGAGGGCTGTAGGTCAAAAGGAACTCTAGTTATCATCCGGAAACGAGAAATTGACCAACGGTCACTGTGACCTTGACCTTTGAACTACTGACCCCAAAAACAATAGGGATCATCTGCTCAATAAGACCATTCATCCTATGAAGTTTGAGAGCTGTAGGTCAAAAGGAACTCTAGTTATCGTCCGGAAACGAAGAATGGACGGACGGACTGACGGACGGACTGACGGACGGACGGACTGACGGACGGACAGGGCAAAAACAATATGTCTCCCCCCGAGGTGGGGGAGACATAATAATTGTGTATCTAGATCATCTGAAAGATCTATTGTAGTAAACTAAACTGCATTTGATTCTTAAAATATATCAAATACGCACGTACACACACCACACACACACGCACACACACACACACGCACGCACGCACGCACGCACGCACACACACATACACACACACGCACGCACGCGCACGCATGCACGCACACACACACACATACACACCGCAACGCACTGCAACGCAACGCAACAGCAACAGGAACAACAACAACAACAATAAAAATCCCGATCCTTTTTAAAGGAAATTATACATCTAAAATATCTATGGATACACTACTGCGTGTCATGTATAACATACATGTTGTCATTAATTCGAAAACCAGCTTGCGTCAACTCGACTTTTCTCTTCGAAATAAAGTTCCCGGAACACCAGACGGACGGACGGGCAAACAAACAAACCCACATTACTTCATGGTGTTGGCATCGTTTACGGACACAACCAATACTTTTTCATATATTACATGAAATACGAGTCATTAAACTGATACTTTTCACATGATGAACTACAGTAGAACTTCTATGAGTCGAACTTCGATAAGTCGATTTTCTCGATGTGTCGAAGTAAATTGAAAGTCCCGATTTTCCCCATATGTATTCCTCATAAAAACCTATTTATGGGTCGAAATTTTATGTTTCGAATTTTTCGATGTGTCGAAGTTTTTTCAAGGTCCGTATAGAATAAATCGAGTACGATATGTCGAAGTTTTTACGCAAGTCCCTTCAACTTCGACTTACCGGAGTTCTACTGTATATAAAAATCCATTATTGCACTGTTTGAAAATTAAAAAAATATCACAGATTATGTAAGGAATGTTGCGATTAATAACCATGTACGAGTATAAAAAGGTCTATTCTAAACTCTCACCCACACGCAGTCTTTTAAACCGTCTCGTTTACGTTTCTAACTTATTTGTTTTCCACTCTCTTTATGACATACTGACAAACTAAATGAGTTGACTATTTATGGGAGTTATTTCAGGGCTAAGTTAAAAGCTTATCATTCTGAAACATACAAAAATGGCCCCAAACTGATAAATGAACACATTTTAGCTCACTGGTACTTCTAATAAACATGTAATAGCCCACCAGTACTTCAAATAAACATCTTATAGCCCACCAGTACTTCAAATAAACATGTTATAGCCCACCAGTACTTCCAATAAACATGTTATACCCCACCAGTACTTCAAATAAACATCTTATAGCCCACCAGTACTTCAAATAAATATGTTATAGCCCACCAATACTTCAAATAAACATGTTACAGCCCACAAGTACTTCCAATAAACATGTAAAAGCCCACTATTAATTCAAATAAACATGTTATAGCCCACCAGTACTTCAAATAAACATGTTACAGCCCACCAGTACTTCAAATAAACATGTTATAGCCCACCAGTACTTCAAATAAACATCTTATAGCCCACCAGTACTTCAAATAAATATGTTATAGCCCACCAGTACTTTAAATAAACATGTTATAGCCCACCAGTACTTCAAATAAACATGTTATAGCCCACCAGTACTTCAAATAAACATCTTATAGCCCACCAGTACTTCACATAAACATGTTATAGCCCACCAGTACTTCAAATAAACATGTTATAGCCCACCAGTACTTCAAATAAACATGTTATAGTCCACCAGTACTTTAAATAAACATGTTATAGCCCACCAATACTTTCAAATAAACATGTTACAGCCCACAAGTATTTCCAATAAACATGTTATAGCCCACCAGTACTTTAAATAAACATGTAATAGCCCACTAGTACTTCAAATAAACATGTTATAGCCCACCAGTACTTTAAATAAACATGTTATAGCCCACCAGTACTTCAAATAAACATGTTATAGCCCACCAGTACTTCAAATAAACATCTTATAGCCCACCAGTACTTCAAATAAACATGTTATAGCCCACCAGTACTTCAAATAAACATCTTATAGCCCACCAGTACTTCAAATAAACATGTTATAGTCCACCAGTACTTTAAATAAACATGTTATAGCCCACCAATACTTCAAATAAACATGTTACAGCCCACAAGTATTTCCAATAAACATGTTATAGCCCACCAGTACTTTAAATAAACATGTAATAGCCCACTAGTACTTCAAATAAACATGTTATAGCCCACCAGTACTTCAAATAAACATGTTATAGCCCACCAGTACTTCAAATAAACATGTTATAGACCACCAGTACTTCAAATAAACATGTTATAGTCCACCAGTACTTTAAATAAACATGTTATAGCCCACCAGTACTTCAAATAAACATGTTACAGCCAAACAGCACTTACAAATTAACCAGTAATAGCCAAACAGTACTATCATGAACATTCAATATACCACTCTATTTCTAAAAATGAACCCCACAGTACTGCAAATTAAACAGTTATAACCCACAGTTCCTAGAAATTAACAAGTTAAAGCGTACCAGTACTTACAAAAAAGTGATAGCCCACCATTACTTACAAGTTAACCAGTTATAGTCTACCAGTACTTAAAAATTATACAGTTATATCGCACCAATACTTACGAATTTACCAGCAGTAGCCCATCAGTACTATAAATTAACCAGTTATATCGCACCAATACTTACGAATTTACCGGTAGTAGCCCATCAGTACTATAAATTAAACAGTTATATCGCACCAATACTTACGAATTTACCGGTAGTAGCCCATCAGTACTATAAATTAACCAGTTATATCGCACCAATACGTACGAATTTACCGGTAGTAGCCCATCAGTACTATAAATTAACCAGTTATATCACACCAATACTTACGAATTTACCAGTAGTAGCCCATCAGTACTATAATTAACCAGTTATATCGCACCAATACTTACGAATTTACCGGTAGTAGCC